CTCCTCTGAACCAGTTTCCCAGGTCTGGCTCTTGCTCTTGAAGTTGATCTATCAGCTCATCAGTGGTTAGTTCTTCATTGTCCTCCTCCACCAACTCTTCCACATCTCCCCACTAACTCCAACCCCAAGGACTTTCCCAATGCCACAATGGATTCCTCAACTGGCATAATCCTCTCAGGTTAGCCTCAAACCCTTCAAAATCCCTTTTGTCTACACATTCTGGCCACAGTTTCTTCCAAGCAGAGTTCAAGGTTCTCTTAGTCACTCCTTAAATTCACTCACAATCATCATAGTTGCAGGCATTTTTTTTTAATTAATCGTCATGCAACTTCCTAGCCTTTTCACATATGATCGCTTGAGAGAACGCTACTCCTGCTAGCTGTTTTTTCATTTATCCACACAATAAGAGTCTCTCAACATCTTCCATCACTTGCGATCTTTGTTTCGAAAACACAGTTAAACCTTTGGCAACAACAGCTTCCTTGATTGCCGTTTTCTTGCCCACAATAGAACCGATGGTTGATTTTGTTTCTTGTACAACCTGACCAGGTCGGTGATACGTAACTCATTTTCATACTATCAATGATTTCTTTCTTAAGTTCAATGGGTATTACTTACCCTTTGAGGTGTAGGGTTGGCACTAGAAGCTTTCTTGGGCCCATGGTCACTTATTTTCCACAAACAGCACCGAAAACACTGTAATAATACGAAATATTTCGATGTATGCTTGGATGTTACCGGAGGCTGGCTGGTAAACAATGGGACGGGCGGCACATGTGAGGCTGGTGTAGGGCCCACATTTGGACGCGTCTCGGACGAAGTTCGCTGAGCGGGTTTTTTGTCTACTATGCGGGGCAAAATTTCAGCGAACAAAGCGTTCGCTATGCGGATTGTTCGCTATGCGATGCGTTCGCTATGCGGGGTCCACTGTATATATATTTATATATAATATATTTATATATATATATTATATATATATATATATATATATATATATATATATATATATATATTATATATATATATATATATATATATATATATATGGAGGCAAAGAGGGGAATGTATGAAGAGTAATAGTTTTACCAACGCTCTTATATGGGTGTGAAGCATGGGTGATGAATGTTGCAGCGAGGAGAAGGCTGGAGGCAGTGGAGATGTCATGTCTGAGAGCAATGTGTGGTGTGAATATTATGCAGAGAATTCGTAGTTTGGAAGTTAGGAGGAGGTGCGGGATTGCCAAAACTGTTGTCCATAGGGCTGAGGAAGGGTTGTGAGGTGGTTCGGACATGTGGAGAGAATGGAGTGAAACAGAATAACTTCAAGAGTGTATCAGTCTGTAGTGGAAGGAAGGCGGGGTAGGGTCGGCCTAGGAAAGGTTGGATGGGAGGGGGTTAAAGGAGGTTTTGTGTGCGAGGGTTCTACTTCCAGCAGGCATGCGTGAGCGTGTTTGATAGAGTGAATGGAGACAAATGGTTTTTAATACTTGACGTGCTGTTGGAGTGTGAGCAAAGTAAATTTATGAAGGGTTCAGGGAAACCGGCAGGCGGGCCTTGAGTCCTGGAGATGGGAAGTACAGTGCCTGCACTCTGAAGGAGGGGTGTTAATGTTGCAGTTATAAAACTGTAGTGTAAAGCCCCTTCTGGCAAGACAGTGATGGAGTGAATGATGGTGAAAGTTTTTCTTTTTTCGGCCACCCTGGCCCTTGGTGGGAATCGGCCAGTTGTGATAATAAATAAAATAAATATATATTTATATAAATATATAGCGGATGGGTCATGAAAGATGAGGTGAATCATAGAATTGATGAGGAAAAAGAGTGAGTGGTGCACTTAGGTAGTCTGTGGAGACAAAGACTTTGTCCTTGGAGGCAAAGAGGGGGAATGTATGAGAGTATAGTTTTACCAACGCTCTATATGGGTGTGAAGCGTGGGTGATGAAATGTTTGCAGCGAGGAGAAGGCTGGAGGCAGTGGAGATGTCATGTCTGAGGGCAATGTGTGGTGTGAATATAATGCAGAGAATTCGTAGTTTGGAATTAGGAGGAGGTGCGGGATTACCAAAACTGTTGTCCAGAGGGCTGAGGAAGGGTTGTTGAGGTGGTTCGGACATGTAAGAGAATTGGAGCGAAACAGAATGACTTCAAAGGTGATCAGTCTGTAGTGGAAGGAAGGCGTGTAGGGGTCGGCCTAGGAAGGGTTGGAGGGAGGGGGTAATAAGAGGTTTTGTGTGCGAGGGGCTTGGACTTCCAGCAGGCATGCGTGATCGTGTTTGATAGGAGTGAATGGAGACAAATGTTTTTAATACTTGACGTGCTGTTGGAGTGTGAGCAAAGTAACATTTATGAAGGGATTCAGGGAAACCGGCAGGCCGGACTTGAGTCCTGGAGATGGGAAGTACAGTGCCTGCACTCTGAAGGAGGGGTGTTAATGTTGCAGTTTAAAAACTGTAGTGTAAAGCACCCTTCTGGCAAGACAGTGATGGAGTGAATGATGGTGAAAGTTTTTCTTTTTCGGGCCACCCTGCCTTGGTGGGAATCGGCCGGTGTGATAATAAAAAAAAAAAAAAAAATATATATATATGTATTATAGGTAGTAGGTTGGTAGACAGCAACTGCCCAGGGAGGTACTACAGTCCTGCCAAGTGAGTGTAAAATGAAAGCCTGTAATTGTTTTACATGATGGTAGGATTGCTGGTATCTTTTGTCTGTCTTATAAACATGTAAGATTTCAGGTATGTCTTGCTACTTCTACTTGCACTTAGGTCACACTACACATACATGTACAAGCATATGTATACACACACCCCTCTGGGTGTGTATATATATGCACTCCACTACAGATTTATACACTTTCAAAGTCATTCTGTTTTGTTCCATTCTCTCTACATGCACCAACCACCTCAACAACCCCTCCTCAGCCCTCTGGATAATAGTTTTGGTAACTCTACACCTCCTAATTTCCAAACTACGAATTCTCTGCATTATATTCACGCCACACATTGCCCTCAGACATGATATCTCCACTGCCTCCAGCCTCCTCCTCGTTGCAACATTCATCACCCATTCTTCACACCCATGGAAGAGTGTTGGTACAACTATACTCTCATACATTCCCCTCTTTGCTTTCATAGACAAAGTTTTTTGTCTCCACAAACTCCTAAATGCACCACTCACCCTTTTCCCCTCATCAATTCTATGATTCACCTCATCCTTCATAGATCCATCTGCTGACACGTCCATTCCTAAATATCTGAATACATTCACCTCCTCCATACTCTCTCCCTCCAATCTGGTATCCAATCTTTCATCACCTAATCTTTTTGTTATCCTCATCACCTTACTCTTTCCTATATTCACTTTTAATTTTCTTATCCATTTGTTCCCTAGGCTTCCTCAACTTATTAATCTCACTCCGAAACTTTTTCTTATTTTCAACAAAATTTGTTGATAACATCTCGCCCACTCTCTCATTTGTTCTCTTTTTACACTGCTTCACCACTCTTTTAACCTCTCTTTTTCTCTCCATATACTCTTCCCTCCTTGCATCACTTCTACTTTATAAAAACCTCTCATATTCATATGCTAACTTTTTCTCCCTTACTACTCTCTTTACATCATCATTCCACCAATCGCTCTTCTTGCCTCCTGTACCCACTTTCCTGTAACCACAAACTTCTGCTGAACACTTTAACACTACATTCTTAAACCTACCCCATACATCTTCGACCGCATTGCCTATACTACGTACTCTCACTAGCCCACCTATCCTCCAATAGTTGTTAATATCTTGCCCTAACTGCCTCCTCTTTTAGTGTATACACCTACACCTCTCTCTTACTTGCTGCTTCTATTTTCCTTGTATCCCATCTACCTTTTACTCTTACTGTAGCTACAACTAGAAAGTGATCTGATATATCTGTGGCCCCTCTATAAACATGTACATCCTGAAATCTACTCAACTGTCTTTTATCCATCAATACATAGTCCAACAAACTACTGTCATTACACCCTACATCATATCTTGCATACTTGTTTTTCCTCCTTTTCTTAAAATACGTATTACCTATAACTAAACCCCTTTCTATACAAAGTTCAATCAAAGGGCTCCCATTATCATTTACACCTGGCACCCTAAACTTACCTACCACACCCTCTCTAAATGTTTCTCCTACTTTAGCATTTAGGTCCCCTACCACAATTACTCTCTCACTTGGTTCAAAGGTTCCTATACATTCGCTTAACATCTCCCCAAATCTCTCTCTCTCCTCTACATTTCTCTCTTCTCCAGGTGCATATAGGCTTATTATGACCCACTTTTCACATCCAATCCTTATTTTAATCCACATAATCATTGAATTTGCACATTTATATTCCCTCTTCTCCTTCCATAACTGGTCCATCAACATTATTGCTACCCCTTCCTTAGCTCTAACTCTCTCAGATACTCCTGACTTAATCATATTTATTTCATCCCATTTATTTCTCCCCACTGAAACTCGCCTACCTCCTTTAGCTTTGTTTCACTTAGGGCCAGGACATTCAACTTCTTTTCATTCATAACATCAGCAATTATCTCTTATCATCCGCACACATTCAAGCATCCCAGTTTTATAAAGATTTTCTTCTTCTCATTTTTAGTAAATGTGTACAGGAGAAGGGGTTACTAGCCCATTGCTCCCGGCATTTTAGAAAGATTCTCTTCCACTTCCCCATGGACAAATAACATTACAATTATTGTAATTTCAAATTAGCATAAAGTTCATCATTCACTTTCATATAACTGAGAAACCTGCTAATGTACAGCATTTCTAGAATCACTAATTCATTTTCACAATCCTATACTTTTAAAGTCAATATCTTGTACAGTATACATTGCGTATATGGTACATTATAAGAATGATACTGGAATGACAAATATGTTTTTGTCAAACCTCCATGAATGTTAATAACTTACACATAGGAGTTGAAAAATATATAGACATCACAGTTCTTTTCCCTTACCCATCCATAATCATAGCATCCAAGGTGGTCTCTCCATTTTCATCAGGGCTTCCCCCAAATCCTACAGTCCCATCACACTGTAATTCTTCACACACTGCACATCCTTTCTCAACAGCATCCAAAGATGAACCATTTTCAGTGTTTAGAATAGTCCATGCTGCAAGAAAATACAGCAAATATAATATTCTAATGCCTAATAGACTAATAAAATTTACTTTTGACATTATACAGTAAACCCTAAGTTTAATGGACTAATAGGAGAGAGTGGCAGATAATGGTGTTATCGGTAATTGTGATAGAGATGAGATTGTTTTCCTGTGATAGTAACAATAACAGATAATTCTCTAACAAGTGAACTTTGACTGTTGTTTCTGAATCAGCTGACCAGCAGTTTTTTTTCCCATATCTCTGAAATCCATTAAATCAAGGGTTTACTGCATGCATCACAGATAATGAGTTATGTAGCATACTAATAAGATATTATGCATATGAGCAACTTCATCTGTGACAAGAGGGAGCAAGTTTGTAAAACACTAAGCCTGAGTGTATCATACAGTGCAGGTAGTTCTTGAGGCTTAATCCTCTCTCAACTAAACATGAGCTCACAGCCAGGCTGCCCAATTTGGTGATACAATAAGTGCTAATTAATGCTTCTGATGATACAGTAAAGGCTGAAGCATCTTGTACAGGCAATGTTTCCAAACAGCATGAAGTATGTTTTGTCTATGTTGAGAGTGAGTCTGCTGGTCATCATCCAAGTATATATTTTTAGCAGCTCATTGTTTACAGTGTTTCTAAGTATAGCTGGGTTTGAATGGGATCAGACATAAGTAGTATCATCTGCAAACAGAACTGGTTTGAGGAGTTGGGATGCATTGGGGGAGATCACTGATGTAGAAAGAGGAGTGGGCCTAGGACACTACCCTGGGGCACTAATAGCTACAGGCTGGATAGTGGAGTGGATACCTGGGTGTTAGTCAACAGGTGTTGGTCACATCCTGGGGCAAAACTGATTTGCCCAAAATGCTCTGCATAACAAAGGGCTTTCTATATATTCATATAGTTTATTTGGACATGATACTACATAGTTGTACAAGGAATTATAGTAGTTGGGTGTACATGCCAAAAGCCCCTTGTATGCAGAGCATTATGGGCAGGCTTAAAATTAACTTAAAATTAACAAGCAATGAAAGGTTCAGTGGTAAAAATTACCGTAAACAATTTACAACATGAAGTACAACTGAGTATCTGAAACAATGAATCGATATTGAAGCATTATAATTGTACAAATTTGTCGCATTATAATGTATGACAAACAAGATGATCAATTTACTGTACGTTGTCTGAAAGTTTTAAGATTTAAGTAATTGGGAGAATTATTGGTAATGTTAAATACCGAGTGTTGATTATTTAGTCCTGGGCGAGTAAGTGGTATTTTAGAAGAGTCTTAAATTGATTTTCAGGCCTGGTTACTTTAGTATGTTCTGGTAATGAATTCCAGATTTTGGGGCCCTTTATGTGTATAGAGTTTTTACAGTGTGATATGGACATGGAGTACATCAAAAAGAGGTCTGTGTCTTGTGTTATGGTTGTGTGTCCTGTTAAGGTTGGTGAGGAGAAGTCTGAGTGGAGGGTGTATGTTTGTGTGTATTGTTTTATGTATGTAGTAGGCACATAAATAACTGTGGATTCAAATTCAAATTCAAAGTTTATTCTCTATAAAGATTACAATGTTGAATTTACAGAATTTGGTTGTTGTGTGGTTTACATGTAGTTAAATAATGATTACAGAGTGTACCACTAGAACGCCTAGCATGGCTTGGCATTTCTTTATGGTGAGCAAATTTAGACTTTTGAATAGAGGTGGAGTATGCTGTCGTGAGTGGGAATTTGTTATTCTGATTGCAGCCTTTTGCTGGGCTATTAGAGGCCTTAGGCAATTTGATGTTGTTGATCCCCATGCACAAATTCCATATGTGAGATAAGGGTAGATGAGTGAATGATACAGTGCAAGGACAGCTGATTGTGGAACATAGTACCGTATCTTCGATAGCATGCCTACTGTCTTAGAGATTTTCTTGGAAATTTTTTTGTATGTGTCTGGAATTTGAGGCTACTGTCTAGGTGGATTCCTAGGAATTTTTCCCTCTGAGTCTTGTGATGGGTGATCCATTTAATGTCAAGGGGAACATTTACAGCTCTGGTTCCAAACTGAGTGAAATAGGTTTTGTTAGTATTTAGGGAAAGTTTATTCATCATCATCCAGGTAGATATTTTCTGCAATTCAGCATTGACAGTGTTGGTGAGTATGGCTGGGTTTGGGTGCGAGAAGACGTATGTAGTGTCATCTGCAAATAATATGGGTTTGAGTAGTTGTGATGCATTCGGTAGGTGATTGATGTAGATGAAAAAGAAGAGTAGTCCTAGGACACTTCCTTGTGGGATTCCTACTGTGATTGGTTGTGTGGAAGAGTTTACACCATTTGCATACACGTATTGGCTTTTGTTACTAAGATATGACTTTAGGTAGTTGAGGGAGTGGCCTCTTATACCACAGTGTGTTAATCTAGTGTGCAGCAATTCATGGTCGACTGTATCAAAAGCTTTATGCAAGTCAGTGAAAATTCCCAGTGAGACTTCTTTCTTCTCGAGAGCGGTATATATTAGTTCTAGCATGTGTATAATTGCATCATTTGTGCTTTTATTATTCCTGAATCCAAACTGACATGGGTTTAGTATGTTGTTTGAGATGAGGTAGGAATAGATCTGTCTATGAATTAATTTTTCAAAGATTTTAGAGAGTAGTAGTAAAATTAGAAATTGGTCTTTTAGTTATTCAAGTCAGCTTGATCACCTCCTTTGTGATTGGGGTACCCTCGCTATTTTGAGAACTGCTGGGAAGGTGGAGGATTCAATGGATTTGTTAAAGAGTGTTGCAATAATTGGTGACAGTACTTGTGAAGTTTTTTGTACATAAAAGTAGGCAAGTTGTTTATGTCTCCTGCCTTGTTTTAAGGGTGTTGATGATGAGTGAGACCTCTGTTGGGTTGGTTGGAGCTAGGAATAGTGTATGCGGGTATGTGCCTCTGAGGTAGTCTGATGGACGGGGGTTTGAGCTTGGGATTTTGCTTTCTAGGTTCTTTCCTATGGTGGAGAAGAAAAACATCGAGTCTGTTTGCCGTTTCAGTTGGTGGATTAGGTGTTGTTCTGATTTTGTTAATTTGATTGTTTTTTTTTTGGATATACTTTAGTTCCTAGAATTTCAGATAGTTTTTTTCCAGGTCTTCTTTATATGACCTTTGATCTTTTGTAATCTATTTTCATAATACAATTTTTTTAGACCTTCTTATCAGGCTGGTAAGGGCTGACGAGTAACATTTAGACTGGGTTTTTAGTTATCTGACCCATTCTGTACTGTTTTTCATATTGGTGCTGTGTGTTAATGGATTTGAGGATGGTGGGTGTTAGCCAGGGACTATTTAGTCTCTTTGCTGTGAGCTGTTTACTTTTTTTTTGGGCAATGCTTATTATAGAGGTAGTGGGTTCATTTCATAAAATTATTAATACATTCATTAGTGTCTTGTTATGTTTCAAACTCATTATGCCAGTCGACATTATTCAAAGCTGCTATAAAATTATTTACAGCTGTTTCATTGTGCACTCTGAAGGTAACTTTAGTAGTGTCTTGGGGCAATTTACCTAAGTTGGTTATGAGAAAGGTAGGGTAGTATGTCATTGATGTCAGCTAAGCCTGTATACCTTGTACATGTAGAAATAAAGATTATTATTATTATTATTATTATTATTATTATTGTCCAACATGTCGGCCATTTCCTACTGAGGCTGGGTGACCTAAAAAAGAAAGAAACACTTTCACCATCATTCACATATAATCACTGTCTTTTGCAGAGGCACCCAGGTACAACAGTTTAGATGTCACTCTGAACAGCCAATATCCCATTTCTTAGATGGGATTTTTTTTTTTTTTAAATTTCCTGTCTGGTAAGAGTTTTTGTTTATCCTGTTATTACTCAGTGTAAGGTTTCTTTCCTCTACTGTTAAGTCTTTTGCAATCTCTCTGTTTTTACTCTAGTTTTAGATGTTCTCAGTGAAACATGTTTTGTACATACTCATGTTTCTTTCTGTATTCAGGATTTCCAGGTACTGTAGGAATAATGCTCAGGTCAATTTCCCAGGGTATGTGGGATAATTTTTTTATATTCTTTTCAGGTGAATTACTGAAATTAAATTGACTAAACATTATTCACATTTACTTTTGCTTTGGATTATAACATCACAGTTATGATGTGATTGTGTTGTATATGTCATCTTGATGTCTCAAATTAGTTTTTTTGTTTAAAAATAAAATCTAGTCTATTAAACACATTCCTGTTGGCTCCATTACCTGTCAATTCAACATGCCTGTGTCTTGTAATTTGCTGAGTTTTCTTATATGCTCATGTTGATGTGTACTACTTCCCAATAATGTTTCTTATACAGTGTTGTGATATATTAATGCAGGTGTCACATTTTGTAGATTAAAATCTAGGAAGATAAAAAAATAGTGAAGGATTTTTTTTAACATTTCTAAGCAGTCTACATTTTGTATCTACTCAATGAATTCCTAGTCACTATGTACTTTTTCCCCAGGAATACCTACATTGTTTATTCTGGACCCTATTTTGAAATTGGAATATTTTGAACTTTGTGTTAAATTGGCCATATTAACAATTTCCAATCACTTTAATTTGTAGTTGAAACATTTGACTTGGCAATTTCTTGTGCTCAATCGATAGAATAGAAGTAATACTAGTGAAATAGCTAAGAATTTGGTCGACTGGAATAATGTAATTGGCCTGAAATGGGAGTCAAAGTCGGCAAAATCGTCGATTCGTAAATATCACTGGCACATCAAAATTCGCAAGAGCATAATTTCGTCAATTTTCCATCAAATTTCATACTTTTTGCTTTATTACCTTCACAAAAAGATTCTCTACCATTTCATGAGAAAAAATAACAAATTTTTTTTTTTTAAATTCTTGGACACTGGGGCACCACTTCAGATTTGGGCCTTGGACCCTGAAGGGGTTAATATCACATACATACAAATCACAATTTTGTGTCCATATTTCACTGTCCAAAACATCTTTGTGTAAT